GAAAAGATAAGGGAATAAAAGAAACGAGTCTATAAAAGCCTGAATAAATGGGGAATTAAACTTTATTTAATGTCAGACTATTCAATTTTGATGTTTTTTATACCTTTTATTCAATTTTGATGTTTTTATGCCCCTGCCTACATGCCTGATATTGGCATTTGCTGACTTCTTTTGGTATCAAAATATATTCTCTTGCTTTTCAAATTTATGCATACCTTACTTGTGCCTTCAAAAATAAAATTTTCGTTTTGGGTAATAAGGTTAAAAAAACAGACATAAAAAACAATAAACAACAAAAACAAAAAACAAAGTAAATTGTGATAGCAATTAGGCTTCTCAGTGAGCATGCTCAGTGGGTCTCTCCTGGTTGCTAGGCAACAAGCTGAAGGTGTGTGGCATAGAAGAAGGGCCCAATGCAAAAATACAAGCACCTTTGACATGGATAGCTCACCTGATCCACAAACCCATGCTTGTTTATCGAATTAAATGTAGGCTGTCTTTGGTGGCTTTTGTGGGTTCCTTTGCTACATTTGGGGGGAAAGGTCGGTGGGGATGGGGTAGGGGTGCAAAAGGTTAGAGGTCTAGTCTCCCAGGTCTAAGAGCCACAGGGCGAACTTCCAGCAACAGCCTTGCGTTTGAATTGAATTGTAGTTTTACAGTGTGTGCATGCGGCAATTTATTTTTCATTTTGGTGGTGGTAGTTAGGTCTTAACCACTGCACGTGGGCTGCTCAATATGTTATAGCACCGCTCTAATCCTACCCTGGATCAGGGTTACAGCGCACATCGGGAATTTAAGCCTTTCAAATGAATCCATTTTCACGTAGTAGAGTCATATAACAGAAAAATTCCAGTTAAACCACATTGTTAAATTAAAGGCTGCAGCCCCGTATTCAAAAGCTCGTTCGCACGCTCCAGGGTCCTGCTGAAGGCAGAGCAAACAGTGGTGCAGAGCAAGGCGGCAGGGTGAAAAGGGATCAGGCTCTAGAACCTGCACAAAACACTTGTCTTTGGCGAGTACAGAGCCATCGCCACCAGCACCTCTAAGTAGCAGCCTTACCAAACACCTGGTTGGGTCCGCAGTGACAGCTCACTGTCTCTCCAGTGGTAACAATTTAGAGGCAGAGTGCTAAACAAGATATATACATGATGTCAAATATTGGCTGCGTACATCTAAGCCAATCACTTCTAAATAAATTAACCATGGCACTGCCTAATACGACCCACCTGCTTTCTTCCCCGCGTTGCTTCAGACCCTACCTGAACCCCCCTTTGATTAAATGTCAAAAGCTTGCCTTGTGCCTGCAGATTTCACTGAAGGCGGATACAGAAAGGTCCCTCCTGTGACTCTATAAAACTGAAATAAATTCCACTGGCATCTTGTAAATTTTTATTTTCTACAATGACTGCAGGCTCCATCTGCGGCCCAGCTGTTATTAGAACGGAAAGCGCTGGCCCTCCTGCATTACAAAACAGCATAGAACAGTAATTGCCAGTGGAAGAGATTAAGTGTAGACACTAAAAATGTTTACTCGCAATGAATATGCATAACGATGGGTAGGAAACAGCGCTGGAAGATTAAAAAGAGAGAAGGGTTTGTTTACAAGGCTGGGGAAAAAAAAAGAGTGGAATGTCAGTTGGCCCCGAGCCTGAAATAGGAACGAAAAACCTTTGGGCAAGGCATTAGGGAGAAAAACAGATGGTTTGTGAACCTTTTATTAGATAGAAAAATCATTAATCAAGCCCAGGCTGGAAATGGCAGGGTTTTTTGTAGTTCATATTTTAGTTTATTTTTTCTTAAAGTGACAGTATACTTTTTTTTTTAAATCATCATCTATGAATATCGGTCTAGAGCCACCGCTTTGTAGACTGCATAAAGCCGGCTTCACTTGAGGGTAATGACAGCAGTGGTTTGTTCAACCCTGGAAAATTCCTCCAAAGAGTTTCACATTTCGGCACCTGTTCTGCCTATATGGCGATTTAAAACAAAAGAAGAAAAAACCCCAAACCCAGTAAACCTACAGCATGGGGATATCTATTTTTCCATTCAGAAGACACTCCTTTGCCTTTGGAAATTGAGGAAGAACACCAAAAGAGGATTTTTTTTTTGCATGTAAGGCCTTGTGGAGTAGGATATTTCATATACATTTAAAAATATGTAGTACGAATAAGTACAAGTTGATTCATCTCCAGAGAGGGAATAAATGCTGTTTCTTTGGGGAAAGACATCCAGAGGGTGGACAGACCACAGTTAAAATTGTAATTCTCACAAAATGAATCCATGCCCACCGGGCTTGAAGAACTTGTGTTTTACATTTTTGTTGTGAAACTCTTGGGGAAGGGAATATTGTGGAGAACAACAATATCCTGGAATTAATGATGCAAAGCCCATCATTTGCTATTAGCCAGTTTGCAAACCCTAGGAAATGTCCTATGCCAGGGGCATTACTGTTTCAATGAAATGCATGCAACATTCAAGCACTGCCATATCCACAAGCTGTGGGTACATATATGTGTGTGTGTGTGTGTGTGTGTGTGTGTGTAACAGACAGACACACACTTGTTTTTGTCCAACAGTGTGTTCAAAAATTATTACTGAGTTCCGGTAAGTTGACATCAGGAATGGAAGCCAGGTTGAGGAATATAAAAATAAAATGTAATCTTGATAATTTGGTCCTAGGCTCTTGCCATGGACCATCATACGCTTGATGCTGGTAAGTCATGGGAGCCCTGGGGAGCCTCCTTTCCATTTAACTGGAAAAGGTCCCTTCTGAGTGCAATGTGATACAGGCTAGCCATGCTACTGTGGCGTAGGGGGCAGGGGTGCCAAGCAATTTCTTCTTAAGAGTTTGAAAGTACTTGAAAAATATCTGTGTGCGCCTTTATTTGTCTCCTTGGAAGTGTTTTTAAAAACAAATGCATTTGCAGGTAAATATCGACAAACCTTAGGAAGGTGCTTTTAAGTAATCCACTAGTTTCCTCTCCTCTTCCCATGAGAGAAATGGTAGAAGGGAACACGAAATCCCTACCAAGTCCTTGTTACCTGACCCTCCTCTGATGGTTACACCTGTCCTCTGCCTCAAAGTGAAGCAGCCACATTAACATAAAGTGAGGTTTACTAAGTACAGGTGTCTGTGATGACATCAACACTACACTCCTTCTCCCAGACATCTAAGTTCCTTTCTTTCTCTCTTCTTTTGTGTTCTTCGTGAACTTGGAGTTAATGCCACAGAGGAAAGAATGGCAGAGAAGAGCGGTAGCTTGCTCTACAGATCCCCACGCCTTAGCAATCCCCTTCTTCATCTTGGTCAGACTTATTTTTTACTTTTACTTACTATCTTTTTATACAGAACCTTACCCTGTAGGCCAGGATGGCCTAAAACTCACTACATAGACAAGGCTGGCACTGACCTCCTATCAATTCTCCTGCCTCAGTTTTCTAAGTATTGGGATTACATGTGTGAGTCAGTAAGCCAGGCTGGGGTCTGACTTATTGAAGAAACAGAAATCCCAAAATGTGGCTGGTATTCTCCTTTAAAAACACGTACAGCGTGGTTAACGTTTTCTGTTTTCTGACATTCTTTCTCTAAAGAGATGCTTAAAGAGGGGGAAAAGAGTTTCCTGCCACAAAAATGACATTAATATTTCTTAAATCAAGAATTAAGATAATGTTTTGGCTGCTACCAAGACGTTTACCTTATGTCGTTTATCTAAATGCTTTTTGATTAAAACATGACACAATTTTTGGACAGGCTTTCACCGGAAAAGATAATTCCAAGAACAGCCTCATTTCAGAGCCTAAAATTCTTTAATATATTCTGCAGCAGAATTCATTGTGGAGTATGTGGACTTTCGGCTCATTGAGAAAGACTTCCTAAATAATAAATTCCCTCTTGCTAACACTTTCGAGTATTCAATCAAATCTCATACTAAAATTAAAGAGAAGTCTTCACATTAAAAGAGTGTCAGCCTGATTGCAAATTTTCAAGTCACTGCAAGATTAATAAAGTTTTCTAAAGAAAAAATATTTTTAACACTGACCTTTTAAAGAACTTTATTTATTCAAAGAACTTTTTTTGTATTAAAAAGGGAAAAATATTCCCCTACCCAGTTTTTTTTAAAAGTAATTAAGCCCTCTTGAGTGGGAATCTACTAGAAGAACTGAAAAACCACAGAAGTGGTTATGAACTTTAAAGCTGTTTACTTCTCTGAGATATGGGAGAAAGGGTGAAGTGTGAGAGCCTATGCTGGATATGTGTGTGTGTGTGTGTGTGTGTGTGTGTGTATGCGATTCTCTGGCCTTTTCCAAAGCACCTTTTTTCTTATAAAATGGCTTATAAGGTAGATACTATGACTCTAAGTCTTAATCTGTTTTTGTCTGTGACTATTTTTTTTCTTTTAAAACCTTAAATTTTTCCCTCCACAGATTCGGAGGAAAGAAAAACACTTGTGGAACAGCTATTTCAAATTGTTGAGGGGAGTGAGATTTGAAATCAGAAATAACATCATGGTTCTTGTATACACTATTCAACAGTAAATGGAAGAGTAGAATTATGGCCAAGCTGCCTCTCTGGGGAATGGGGAGGAACAGCTTCCCTTTGGACTGTGTAGATCATGGGGAACTGCCTATGCAGCCCTTCTGAGTTGCACTAATAACTTAGGAATGAACTTCAGGCAGTAGGCGAGTCTCTTGAAGGGACACAAGGGATGGAAGCTGGCAGAAGCTGGAGGACATGGGTTGGTCACACAGGGAGGAAGAGAAAGGGCTGCTGGGCTTGTCTGTGTTATAACACTTCATTAATGATGATGATATAAAGAGGAAGTCCTAATAGTCTTAAATTATTATGGAAATTGTTTTTTAAATATGAGTTCAGGGTGAGACAATAACAGCGAAGCAGCTATGTATAGTTGGCTTGTGCACGAAGTCGAGATGTGTCTCAATGAGAAAGTAATAGTCAATAAGGAGATTTTTTTCATTTATTTTTCCTTACATTTATACAGTTTACAGAAGATAGACTTCATAGCAACTCCTGAATGAAGTCAGGTGCTTTAGCAAGATCAAGTTCCCCAGAAGCAGTGAGAAGCCATAATACAAGAAATGAGTGTACTTCTAGGAAGAGCCAGATAGACACCCACAACAGCAGCCCTTACCTGCAATTTATCAACAGCTTGAGACTGTTAGATTGCAGTTCTCAAAATGTTTTCATTATGCAAGCAAATGACTTCTAAGATAATCTAATTTGGAGGCAACAATTTTGTACTAATAAAAATAAAGGTATAAATTAAAAGCACAAATTTTCCATTTTATATTTTAATGAAAAAAATTTGGACTTAGAAGCTTCGATTCTCAAGATCCATTCTACATGTTCCTGCTCTGTTACAAAGAAAAATATGAATGAAGGAGTCATGATTAGGTGATTTCACTAAGGCCATAAACATGACTTTTGTTTGTGTGTTTAACTGTCAGAATATTTGAAGAGGAAAAGATACAAAACATGTCAGGATATAATGAGGGTGTCCAGATCTCCAAGGACTGGCTTTCTTGGCTTTGTGAAACCTGTGGTTCCTGGTATAGATATAGATGAATCTCTTTCTTTCTCTCGTTCTTTCTTTCGTTCTTCCTGTCTTTCTTTCTTTCGTTCTTCCTGTCTTTCTTTCTTTCGTTCTTCCTGTCTTTCTTTCTTTCTTTCTTTCTTTCTTTCCTTCTTCCCCCCTCCCTCCTTTTTCCCCTTCCTCCTCCCCTCCCCCTTCTTCCTGCTATGGAGCTGGGAAGGGTCTCTTCCTCAAAAGTTTAGAATACAAGACAAATGCTTCCAGATTTCTTACTATTAACAGTATGAATTGAAGACACAATTCCCAATGAGACAAGGACTGACTTGTAGACTTGTCCAACCATTGGCCTGAGGATACATGTGGCTGAGGACAACTGTGAACATTGCCTAGAACAATGTCATAAACTTATTTAAAACATAAGTTGCTTTTCAGTTTTGTTTTTGTATTGCCTTTTAACTCAACAGAGCAGTTCTAGAGGGTGAATCTTATAGATGACAGTCTCCTGTCTCAAATTACTGGTTTGTCTGGCAGTACTTCAGAGCCTCTCTCTTACTCAAGAGATGTTTTATGAGGATGTATTAAACTTTAATTCATGAAGATAGGTACTTAGGGTTTCTTTTGAACTTTGACATGGATTTGAAGCGAATATAAACTGATCTGTCTGTCTGTCTATCTATCTATCCATCCTTTGGATGACCTTGGTTTTGTAAGTAGGAAAATGAAGCCAATAGGGTCATAGCTTGTCAACAGTTCTGCCAATGCTAGAGATGTCCACGTTTGTTTGTTTAGGGCTATCAGTCAGTCACTGAGAGGGACATTGAGAGTGAGATCCACATCATTAAAGGGAGACCCTCCCAGGAACATGCCTCAGCATCTGCTGTCATCACAGATGTGGTAACTACTGGTGGGCACAGTCTTACTTCCCTTACAGGAAAAGAGCCATTATCATAGATGACTCTCACATCTGTAATACACAAGACTACCTAGCTATAGTAAGATTAACCACCCTGCATTTTCCTTCATCTGTAAGTTTAACTTGGCAAGAGTTCATGGCATGAGGAGGTTTTTCACTGACAACCCTCTATATTGGCTTTATTTTTTTAATTTGGACAGCAAATTAAAAATTGTCTGTGGGTTTGTGTTTTAGAACATATGCAGATGTAGGAGCCTTAGGACAACTGAATTAAAATCTAGGAGCAGCACCCAGACATCTTCATTGTAATAAAGCTCTATCAGTCATTCCAATGCATATGCAGACTCAAAACTACCACACAATGTTGTCTCATGGACCAGACATATACACAGCCTTTAAGACATGTGCAGTGTGAATTCTGTGGTGCTGGTTCCCCAGTTGAGCTTGGAACACCCGTGAAGTAAATGTTGTGCCATTAGTTGGAGAGAATTAATATGCTTTTAGGAGTGCTCAGTTTATACTCTGAGAATAACTTAAAGACCCAATAATTTCAAGCTTTGGAGCAAGGGCGTAGTTGTCAGAATAGACATGAATATTTAACAGATATTGTGGGAATATCCAAAATGACTCTGCAATATGTCTAAACAGCTTTGCCCTGTTAGTTCCATTTGCTACTTTCTTTCTGGTCTCGGTTTCTAGACTTGGCCAGGGCTAGCAGTACTGCCCCTCCTCATCTTCAACGGTGTGTCTGTCCCTGAGGACTTACTGGAGTTCCGAGAAAGGTTGGGGCTACAGAGTGAACAGTCACGTGGCCATTTAAAAAACACCGTGTGAACCTTCAGGTTACAGTGTCTTTCATTCACAAACCACATGAGGCTGCAGTTCATTCCAAGAACAACTTTCATTTTTTTAAAAGTCTGTTTTTAAAATGGGAAAAAATGTGGAGTGATAAGGTCCTCTGGGGGTGTAGGTCATCCCTGGGAATGGCTTGGAATGAGTTTTCCTGATGAGTTATGGGAGCATGGACACATATCCTGTTTTCCTTCTCAATTCAGATAGATTTTCACATAGACGCCTGTTTGCTCCAGCTTATTCATTCTGTCTGCACTCCCTGAGCTAAAGCCTCTGAAAGGAATCATTGGCTTGAAGGTCCCATCCCAGGTGTGATGTGGGTCTCTGGAAAGATGACAGCCCTTGTCTGTGAGAATAGTCTGCATTTCATTTTTCCTTCCTAAAGAATTCCAGAATGAGAGATCCACTCTCCACATCCCAGATGTTGCAAGCCACAGTTTTGGAACATTGGAGTTAAAATTCAATCCCCATGATGTTCACCCCATGAGCAAACCAAACATTCACAAAAATGTACTTGTGCAATAGTTCATGTGACTTCCTCAATGAAGTGCATCCTGGCCTATGTGACTCAGTCCCCAGTGAAATGATACATCATATTGTAAATTTTATAACAACTCAACTGCAGGATGCTAGAAGTGAGGCTCTCGTTCATGCTTTCTTGAGAGACTCAAGGTCTGGAAACATACTTTAATGTTGATTGTTTTTATAAGAGTCTTAAACTTTGTTGTTTTACTTGAAAAAACACAGAGCAGTTCTACAAAAGTCCTTATATACTCGAGTCTGTTGAAAGGTTTCTTCAAAGCACTGTCACTTATTCAGGAAGACTAGTGTTTTGAAGAATATATATCTTAGGGGATGGAGTTAGTCATGTTATCTTGTCCGAATGTAAGCAGATCATGCTGGGAGATATAAAAAACCATGATATAAAAGCAGCAGAAAGGCAGTCTAATATATATTTAATAAGATGTGCTTTCCAGTGTTTATGTACATCTCTGATGCTGGATCTTAATACGTTCAGATCTCAGTTCTCCATTCTTCCTTTACCCACCATTCACCTGTGTTTGTATAATGGAAACTAGTTACTACAGTTCTGGTTAACATCTGTCTTATGCACGGGTGATTACAAGCCATTTTCACAACTAGTAAAACTACAGGTGTCTGGGTTTGAATGTAACCATTTAAAAAGAGGGGTTCATGGACCCCTGATTATTATTTTTTATGACCGGCAGTGTTCCTGCCATTGACTGCCAGCTCATGGGTTAAATATACCTCTCTTGTACCCCCATGTGGTAGTATCTCCAAAAGCCACTTGGAAATTAGGTTTTGAAACTTTGGATCAATACCATTGTATCGTCATCTTTGTGCTATGCATAGACAAGCCGTGCTGCTGTTCCCACATCACCAACAAGACACAGTGAACTAGTTTGGGAAGGCTAGATGCTAAATGTCATTAAGCTTGCTTACACTCTGTGACTCTTTTATAGTATAACAGAGACCACGTTTGATAAAGCTTGTTGGCACAAAGCTTCTGTAGTCACTGTAGAATGCCTGCCAGTGTCCTAAATCAGAAGTCCAGTTCTGTACAAGCAAAAAGAATGTGACTTGGGAATTTCTTTATCTTTCGTCATTGAAGGGTTCCAAGAATTATTCTCACCACTAGTGAAACCCACTATTTACTCACATACATCCTTGAAGGGAATTGATAGTCATATAAAACGTACAAGTGGCAGCAATGATCTTAACTGATTCACAGATTAATCATATTAGATGAAAATAGAGTTTTGAAATTTAAGAACTGCTATCTCGAGGTACTTAACCTGACAAGCACTGTTGGAAGGGCAAGGGAAAATTCAATTATGCATGTGACTTTGCTGTGTGGTAATGGGAACAGGTTGAGCTGCAGCCTTTAAGGCTCTACTGGCATTTCTATTATGAATATAAGCATCATTTTCTAGGGATTTATTGTTTAGCCATAACAAATTCTAGACAGGATCATTTATGAATTTCTAGTGCTCGCCTCCCAAACCAGATACTTTTCTTATTTACTTTCTTTAAATTAAAAGAGAGCCTTTATGTGTTCTGGATGGTTGGAAACAAATTAATAGTGAGAATTGAGAAGGTTTTCTTTGTTAAATAAAATGTGGCCATTCCGTGGGTGCAATAGGACGTTAGTGAATTTCTTGGTGGTAGAGTCACTTTTGCCTTGTATCTTTAATAACTTGATGACACTTCTGAGGCAGAGATGAGATCTGTGATGTAGGGCATCCCAAACAAGTCAATCCCCACGTGCTAGCTCATTATTCAAATAAGAGAAAAAATTTCCTTTATTTTATAGTAGCTTCAAAACTCATAATAAAAACACACACTTTCTAGAGTATGCAAAAAACATTTGATGCTATTTTAAGCATGTCAAGCCGTGGCAAAAAGCCCTTAACATTTAGGAGTACAGTGAAAGTGCTCGGAAGCCTGTCCGTCTCAACTTTTCCAGTGTTACTTTATGTATGATCCTGTTTGGGAGGTAGCCCAGATTTTCTTTCTCGGTCACACTTGGCCTATCTACCTCTATATCTTTTCACTCAAGCTATCTTCTCCATATCCTTCCCATTAAAATACCAGTACCTCTAAAATGCTTTGCTGATCTCCTGTATAGAAATGGCTCCCCAATGAGTATTGGAAACATTTTTCTTGCAACTGTTGTCACTCTGTGTATCTTCCTTATGATTGACACATGAACGAGGTGTATAGTAAGTATTCATTTAGGACATAAGTGAATGAGTGAACAATAACTATTAGTGGAAACTCTATTAGGGCCTGGCAATAGGTAAATGCCAGTATGACAGACAATATATTAACGTAGATTCTCCGTATCCCTGGGAGATCTTAGTACATCAAAGGGTAAATAACATTTCAAGGAAAAGTACA